TTTAAGAGCATGTCACCTGAAAAGTCTCATTCCACTGAAATCAAGAAGTAAGCAGACTTTTACAATATGAGCAGAGCTCCTTACCTAACTCGTGGGGAAATTCCTCACATAGGATTGCTATGGAAGTACTGAGTCCCTGAAGGAGAGACAAGGTGCAGGAAGCCCCAATCGCCAGGCCATCGATGAAATTGTGGAGGGCATCGCAGAGCGTTATCATCCAGGCAATCGTCCCTATTTCTGACAGTTTGGGCCCCTTCAAACAGGTACATGAACTTGGCTCTTTTTTTCCATCCTAGCAGAAAACCAATTAAAATGATAACCAACATTTCTTGAAAGTCTCAGAAATACAGACAAGTTGGAAATGGGTTATGTCTTGAAAAAAACAAATTGTTCCAACAGAAAGTCTTTTAGAGTAACTAGGAAACCCTAATAATACATAACAGAGAAAATAAGACTTATGGTCGAGAGAAAGGAAATTAATCAACTGACACACCTTGAATAAGCCACTAACAGACATTTTCCTTTACTTTCCCTTTAAAACAATCCTTTTGACTTATATAAACTTCTTCCTACTGCCTTTCTAAAATGCAGCAGATATTAACCTAAGAAATTTATTTATACACAAGATTTAAAATGAAGGAAGTTATTCAAAGACTAAACTTAAAGTCTTTTTCATGTTACAATTTAAATATGAAATCCACAACTAGAGCATGATGATATCAGGAACATTTGTTCTAATCCCTCCTATGCCACCATGTGACAGTGAGCAAGTTATCACAGAGTTCCTTCAACTATAAAATGAAGACATTGTACTAAATGATTTGTTTATTTATCAACAACTTATTGAGTTTCCATTGTGTTCCAGGTACCATGTGGAGGGTTTAGGTTGTAACAATATGGTTCCTACAAGCTCCAAAGCTTAATTATTTTCTTAACAAATTGCATGAAGTGTAGATGGAACAGGCTAGCCTTTACACTAACACTTCTTTTCATGTAGAAACAATAATAAAAATAGAAAACCCTATGATGGACTCTTTGTAGGAATTTAGATTTCCAGGAAATTTACAAAATTGTACAAAATCAAATCAAATTGTACAGACAAATGCCAACTAAAACACTTTCCAGAAGTTGTAGAAAAAGATAAAATGCAAATTCATTTTTAAGTACAAAAGCAGTTTGCAATTAACTGGAGAACATTTTATTCCTAATTCTCCTCCTCTCACCTCTGCCTAAGCAGCTAATCATTATATTTATTGAACATCTGAAATCTGTAGAATACTCTGTTGAATGCTATGGGAAATACATGGAAATGGAAAACACAGCTTCTGTCTTTAAGAGGTGCATTTACGTTGGAGAAATAAGTCATAATATATACAGATACATTTTTAAAAACTGCAATATATATCCAACAGAGAGGGCTTACTTCAGAGCAACCATCTGAGAGGTTTTACATTTACTCCAATGTCACTTCACTACTCCGAACACTTTGGGGACCAACACTTTCAGAATCAACCTTAAATCTTGCAATACATCTCTTTACTGTTTCATTAGTGGCAAATCTGCACCTTTGGATTTTTGTTTGTAGGCACAGATAAAAGCATTTGGAGCAAATATATTTTTTAATTAACATGAAATGAATGGGAAACTGTTGGTAATAGGATTCATCATCATTGTCATCACCAATGTGGTTGTAGTAGAAATAGAAACAGCAAAGGCATATAGCATTTCTAATGTGCTAGGCACTGTTCTAAACACTTCAAATACCAAACTCATCTAGAACAATTCTATGAGGAAAGTACAACTGTTACCATCATTTTATAGTTGAGGAAATTAAAGCACGAAAAGGTTGGTAAACTTACCCAGGGATACAAAAAAAGAGTAAGTGGGCATTTTTAGCAACAGTGCTTTACTACTACAAACATATCGGGAGGGGGATTCTTCTCTGTAATAGGATCTGACGGTAATTCCAAGGAGACTTCCCCACCTCTCAGAAAATTCTCCTGAACACCTGACGCAACATTGAATAAGTATCGAATCTTGTTTATTTTAAGAAACAAAGTTTACCTGCATAAAAATAATTCTATCTTTTCGTAAAATGTGGATTTCTTTACTGTATAGCTATATCTTAAATGCACAACACAATAAACAATCATAATTTAGCACAGGTGGATCGGGTGGTTTGCATAAAAAATGCCCCAGAGCAGGAAGCAATTACAGCTGAAAAAGAAACAAAGGTGGTAGTAGGGAATGCCACAGAGGAAGTGACCTGGGCTTTGTAAAACTTACTGCTGTGATATACTTAATGAAATTATTTTGAATTAAAGCAGTTGTTTTCATCGTCCAATCTAATTTATCTAATTACATGTTTAAAATTTCCTTATTGTGATGATTTCAGAAGAAGACTACAAAACCAAGTCTTGACTACCTGATATCACATACAGAATCTGTATACAAACACCCTTAATTTTACAGAAGAAATTAAATTAATAGATCAGGAATGATTCTCTTACCTCTAAGTACAGATATTACTGACTCTATTTATTATGCCTCATATTAGCTCGATGAGTTTTGGTCCCAAATGATACTGTTGAGCAGGGTAAGAGTTATACATTTTTAATAGTTTTAGAACAAACCAAAGTAGGCAAACATTCACAGAAACTTCTTTTCTAATTCACCTAGAATTAAATCACTGAGCAGAGAGAAACTAAATTCAAGTTCCTGTAGTTAAGTTAGTGACTATGCCTCTCTCTCTCTTTCCTTTTTAAATTTTTGTTTTCTGTTGTTATTGTTGTTCACTTCCTTGCTTTCTTGTCTGAGTTTTACTCTAAATATGAGGCTATTTCTACCCTCAGCCATGATGAGGCAACTCAACCTAGTGAAAAGACCCTAAGTCTGGAATCTGGAACTGAGTTCAAGCTTGGCTCTGAGAAGAATTACCATGTAATCTTCAGCAAGACTCGTAACACCTTTCACTTAGTTATTAATGGGGATGAAAGTCAAAGCAATGTGTAGTATTATCAGAATGGGAGAGAAAGAATATCATACACCAAAGTTATAAAAATAGAGGGAGACTATGTTGAATCCCAACATAAATTGGAGGGGAAAAAAACAAAATTTTAAAAAAAAGTACTTAGAAATTAAAATGGAGAAAACAAATGGGTTTACTTGCAGAACAGTTTAAGGAAGGAGGAGAAAGCTGTAGAGGAAGAGGAGGTCTGGGGGAATAGGAAGGACAAGGAAAGGGAGAAGAAGAATGAGGAGGAGGAGGAGGAAGACAAGTACAAGGAGGATGAGAAGGAGGATGAGGAAGAGGACAAAGAGAAGGATGATTAGGAGGAGGACAAGGTGGAGGCATGTGGAGAAGGAGGAAAAAGAAAACAGAGAGAAGAAGGAGAAGGAAGTGAGCAAGCATGAGTAAGAGAAGCAGGAAGAGAAATAAAAGGAGGAGAAAGATAAGGACATAGACAAGAAGGACACAAAGGAGGAGGTGAAGAATATATGGATGAGCCTCTTTTAATAAGTGCAGAATGCGAATCTAATTCTATTCCACTAAATCTCATAAAAGGCTATCACAGAGGATAGTTTCAATAACAAAGTGAACAAGAAGATCTGATTGTCACTCAGTATCCTTCCTCAGCCATCCAAATGTTTGCTTAATACGCCCACATATAAAGTGCCAGAGTGGTGCTGAGGGAGGCTATATATAGGTTCAGCATTCTCTTCCCCTACCAAGGGGGATCTGGCTTTCCAGCACTAAAAAAGTCCCAACCTTCAAAAGCCAAGGCTGATGCTGAGCCCCCAGAAAGACATCACTGCCCAACAGGGCAAGAGGACCAGATGGCTGTATGTGGTAGCAGAATGATTCCATTGGATTCCTCCCATTATAAGGGGATGCTCTTGGACTCACAAAGACAGACATATACAATATATGTCTTCCCTGCCTTCAGTGCCTCTGCAAGCACCATCATTCATGGACTTATAGCGCACCTGATATATATAGCCAAAGTTTCCTGTGAAAACTATCTCCTAACCATTTTTTAGCAAAGGAAGTGAGACAATGGGCTCAATCCATATAATTCATGGATCACATCACCTGCACCCTCTAGTAGCAACCCATTAGACAGAATGATGAGATGTCCTGATGAAGCCTCAGCCAGGGTGCAAGCCAAGAGATAACACCCTGAGAGGTTGGAGTTCTGTCCATAGGTTTGGCAGCCAAGTATATGGTGTCATCTCTCTGTAGAGAATGCACAAATCCAATAACCAAGAGGTGAGAGTAAAAGGGGTCTAGGTCAGGCTCAGTGGCTCCCGCCAGTAATCCCAGCACTTTGGGATGCCAAGGGGGAGGAATGCTTGAGGCTAGGTGTTCGAGACCAGCCTAAGCAACATAGCTAGACCGCGTCTCTACGAAAAATATATTAAAAATTACCCAGGTAATCCCAGCACTTTGGGAGGCTGAGGCAGGCGGATCACGAGGTCAGGAGATCGAGACCATCCTGGCTAACACGGTGAAACCCCATCTCTACTA